GACGCATGATGTCAAGTCCTCACAGCAGGCGCCTTGGACTGCACTGCTTATGTGAGGTGATAGGGGACACGGGGTCATGGGGGATTTAAACCCATCTCACAACCACCGAGCCAATGACGAGATCCCTAAGGAGCCACAGACGAGCACGCCTGGGAAGGCCTGCACAGAGGCCACGAGGAGAGGCTCCATTTGCAGGGATGATAAGCTGTACTCGGAGGTTATTGATGCTGAACTTATGCTTTCATAGGAGTTTGCATCTGACGTACAAAAGTTAAGCTATCAAACATTTTCCTTATCGTTTTATTGCCCATGTCTACGTTTTTTAAAAATAAAAAACAATAAGAAGTTGTCCTCATCCAATCAGACAAATCAGCCAAATTATAGCTCAGATGGTTCCATTTAACACATTAACTGGTGTAGCTGTTCAGCCTGGGCTGATGGTCTAACACTTTTTATTCTCTCCTCCTTTTCTCCGATGACCAACGTAAAAGCTCGTCGCCGTCTCCACTGCTGCTAAATCCAGTAATCTCTCCCGTTCGCCCTTTTATCTTTTGTCTCTTAACTTTACGTTGGCGTCTAGCGTTACATTTTTTCCATATTTTCCGGCTGATGTCCCTTCAAAATATAAGCACATCCGTTTGATGTTAAATAACGAAATTCAAGTTATTTTTGGGCTTTTTTTCCCCTATTATTTGACGGGAAAGCCAAGAGAGAGACAGGAAAGTGGGGAGAAGAATGGGCAGCAAATGGCCACGGGCTGGATTTGAACCCATGACCGCTGCGTTGTGGACTAGAGCCCCTGTACTGGGACGCCAGCTCAACCCGTTAAGCTATAACGAAATGAAAATATAAACAATAATACATGACAGATTCAAGTTAACACATTAACTAATACATTAGAATAATAACAACATTCAATAACTACTGAATAAGTCACATTGACGTTAATTACAAGTGGACTCTTGGTAACGTCATCGAGGTCACACAGGAAGTTTCTTGTAGAAATTTTTAGTGGTAAATTAAATGTTTTACTTTCTTGTAATGAGGACTCTTTCTATATGTTTTTCCAGTGTGATGACAGTGTTGTACGTCTAATCAGTGCTATTCTGTCCTATTGTAGGCGGTCAGACCGGCTAGCTCTGACCTCTTCCCCTTCCACGCTCGGCCGCCTCCATATTGCGCCGACACCAGGAGCGCCATCGCACGACGCTCCGCTGGTTTAACATGCAACGCGAGGAGGGAGCCACCAAATCGCAGCACAATCAATTGGCTTTTAATGCCTTGAGTAGCCCCCCAAGCCTTCGAGGCTAGGACGCTCGGCTAATGTGATGCGATTCGCTGAGCTGATGGCAGACTGTGAGTGTGTGTGGAGGGCGGTCTGCCGTGGACGTAGCTGGTAGTCGATACGACATAAAGGGAGACAGTCTGCTAGCTATGATCCACTGACGGCCGTGACAGCTGGGGTTAGCACCTAGCAGCCGTTTGGTGACAGAAAGAGCCTCTGGAACACAATGGGGACGGGGCCATGGGGACAGGAGCGGCCACATGGCTACTGCTGGCACGAGGAGACGTATGCCGCAGTACAATGTGGCTGCTGGTTAGTGGCTGCTGCTGCCAAGGGCTCCACGAGGCCTCATGACATATGGCCGGAAGATGGATTGCCGTCGGGCATTGGTAGGGAACAACCAGTATGGACCACACATATGGTAACACATAACACGTAGCGTGCACACAAACATGGATGGTGAGGCTGTGTACAGTCTCTCTACGCGCTGACAGATAAACCAAAACAACACAGAGAAGATGCCAGAAGACGAAGAAAACGGGATGCACGTTTAAATAAACACGCATTAGTGCAGCCTGCATGCACATGCACACACACACACACACACACACACACACACACAGAAACACACAAGCAGACAGCGCTGCACATGCTGAGCAGTCACGCCATCAGATGCCTCCGTCACTGTTGTCATTCACCTGGTAGCGCTGCCCATCCCCTGACATCTTCACTCTCACAACAGGCAAACACAGCGGCAGAAATAGGCAGCTTGTTAGCGGGCTAGCGTTAATCCAGTGTGAAACCAGTGTCACCTGGAACACCTGACTGAGGAGGTGGTAGAGTACAGGAGGGAGGAGGTGAGTTAAGACACTCGGAGTGAAGTCTGAAAGGCAAACTGTGGAGGGCAGCTGCAGCTGGGTGTGGTGTGTGTGTGTGTGTGTGTGTGAGTGTGTCTGGCTAGCTGGTGGCCTGCTGCGACCAGATTACATGTTCACTGTCCCACAGCGGGAGTGGAAGTGAGATGGGTAGGACTGAGTGGTAAATGGCCTCAGCGGGAGGCCACGCGGCTGGTTGAGCACTCCGCCAGCCAGCCAGCCAGCGACTGCTGGACCATCAGTCCGGTGTTTTGCAATTTGTTCAGTGGCAGGGATACACAAGCGTCCGTCCTCTATGACTGAAGCTAATAATCCCGTTGACAGATCGCTTCAGGCAAACATCATTTCTCATGTAAATAATAAACGAGTTAATTTTATTTCTTGGACTTTTATTTAATGATAATTCACCTCTTTGTGTAACTCCCCCCATTTTACTTTTCATTTCTAGGGAAACACAACGAATTAATGTAATAAATTGATGACACAGTTATTGTATATAATTATAATAATAATAATAATAATAATAATAATAATAATAATAATATAGAAACTGCAGTTGTTGCTCCTCCATATCTTCACTTCGCTCTCGACTACTTCCAGAACACCTCGGGTCATAAATCCTACTGGTAAGGTGCTACCTATTCACCCATATACATATTCATTTACTCATAAGCACATAGCAGTAAAATCTGATATTAAAGCGTGATTTAAAATACGCGGCTGTGTGATACATTAGAGGTAGCTTAGGCTAAAAAAAAAATAAAAAAAAAAACTCAAGTTACCCCTGGGCTGGTAATTTCCTCTCCAAAGAGAAAATAATTTACTGTATCAATAAAATTACAACCGAAGAGCCATATTTACTCTCTTAATGCGTTCGGTACCGCGATGCACTTCTGAGGTGGTTCATCACGGACATGCAACACGGTGCTGGAGTCGATCAAACCGCTAACGTAGCAGCAGCAGTTAAGAACTGTATTTATATGTGATGAAGGGAAGCTGTTTTAGAGTTGTATGCTGCTGTTGCCCTTGAATGCCAGCCCGTCTCAGTGTGGGAATAAACGCAGAGCAACGAAGAACAAAAGTACAGCGAATGTGCTTCAGGGGCCACAAAAGGCCTGAAGCAAACGCTGAGGCCTCTGGCAGAATGACTTAAAGCCTCTAAGCAACAAAATGAAAGCATTTATGTTGCTGGGATCAATTAAAAGAAGTGAAAACTATTTACTACACCGCTAATGCTCTTTTGCTGGTAGAAGCAAACACGTTTTTAAACAACGCTGCAGGTAGGCTGCTCAGAATATCAATCTGGAGCTGAATACACAAGCTGAAGCTCTCAGAATGTGATGTTCTTTAATACTTTCAGGGTGTTTTGTTGCTCCAGTCATATTTTTACCCACTGTGGCCTCAGTTTTAAGTGCAATATAAAGTCCTGCTCTGTTTTGGAAACAGTACGACCATGGATAGAAGCAGAGAGAGCTAAAACATGTAGTACAATACGGTCATAATGTCATAAATCATTAAAAAAAGTTTCATTTCTTGGAAAAAAAACTGATTTCACATGTTTTTCAGGTGCCCACAGGCGTTACTAACATTGGAAAACAGTGATTCTACATGCTGCAGATACTTTTTTTACATTTTAAATTTGGGGTTGCCAGGTGTCTCAGTGGTTAGCACTGTTGCCGGTTGGCGTTCTGGTGAGGACACCCGGGATCTTTCTGTGTGGAGTCTCCATGTTCTCCCCGTGCAGCGTGGGTTCTCTCCGGGTTCAGAAACATGTTGAGGTTAATTGGTGATTCTAAATTGTACGTAGGTGTGAATGTGAGTGTGCTTGGTTGTCTGTCTCTAAGTGTAGCCCTGTGATAGACTGGTTACCTGTCCAGGTGAACCTGAGACAGCTGAGATAGACTTCCCCAGCAACGGCGTGCCACTTTTTAATACTTCATGTTCTGTTTAAATGTTAAAATTTTTACATTTTCTGTCCCTCATACACGCTGTAATTATTAAATGACTACATGTGTTTGAACCCCTTCGCTGAGTTCTGGAGTTCAGAGGGTTAACGCTTCCCTGATTTGTGATGAAAAAGGGACCAACCCACTAAATGGCATCCAAGAATCTGTAGAGGAACGGGGTTTTGCCAGTGACTAAAAATATGAAATAACTCATTTGCGAGCTCCGTGACCAATAAAAACGGGATTCAGGACTCTCAGAACTCTAATGTGCTGAACGCCGTGAGCTCATTAGACGCAGTGCGACTACCTCACTGTTGCCGGCCGTGTTGCTAGCGAGCGAAATCTAATTAATATTATTTTTCTCCTGCTGTCTGCCGCTCAGGCTGGTAACCCCGAGCAACGGGCTGCAGCCTGTCTGGTGCTGCGGTCTGGTGTGTGATGCCGGACTGCTTCCTGGCACAACCGACACCTATAAAATCCCGACCCAAAAAATAAAATAACAAAACAAAAAAAAGCCCCGAGTATATTTAGGAAAGATGGAAACTTGCGGCTATCAGAACTTGTATAAACCTCTGTATAGTAACTGATGCTGTAATCATTTCGCCATAAGGAGCTGTTGTGTCGTGGCGGCCTGTTGGTTTAACTTCTGACCTGCAGCGGAGGAATAAACGTTTTTCCAGCGAGACTTTCTGGTCAGTAATATTACGCTAAATATAAAAAAAATAAAAAAAATCTCCATGTTGTAAACTATTTTCAGCCTTTTTTAACAAGTCCCTCCTAAAACCTTTCAACAACTCTCACAAAATACTGTGCAAGAGGGACAGACTGCATGGGTTTTAGACCGAGACTGGGCTATCAAGGACGGCTACTGCAGGTGCATGGCAGAGTACTTACTGTAGGTTGCATAACATATTGTTGATGAGGCATCCATGACGTACTCTGGACCTGAGAAGAAACACATAAAATGTAAAACGACGGTGACAATATAAACTCTCCCAGTCTGATCCAAGCGGCGTCCCGCATGAAGCGATAAACGCCGTTCAAATACTCAACAATACGTTCAAACAGTCTGCAGGTTTTAAAGTGACTGCACTGGTTTTAATGCAAAAAAAAAAAAAAAAAGGCTGAACTTTACAGAGATTAAGTTATGCCAAAGAATTACTAAAAGAATTTGGAAGTCTGGAGGCAGCAAATCTCCCTCCTGTCTTCTCATTATTGCCAGCAGTGTGACTCCTGCACAGAGCCCGTGAATTAGCTTCCGTCTCTATTATAATGATATTAATGCCCGACCCAGTGGCGCTGATGGAGAGGTCAGAGGTCTCCTCAGGACACACCTCTACAGAAGACCTACAAATGGGATTATTTTAATCTAAAGATCTGAAGCAGTGGAGCAGAACAGCAACGAGCTAACGCCCGAGGACAAACCGTGCTTATTTACAAACGTGAAGGAGACGCCGAAACAGCGACAATTACCAAGACAGCGGAGGAACGGACGAGGAGCAAACAGAGCTTTTAGATGTGCTGGAGAGAGGAATTAGACAGCTTGTAGCAGACAAACACACAGACTGGCCGCTGATCCGGGTAAAATGATTAGATTAAACAAAGACAAACACGGAATAATCGGCTATAAGAGCAATCAATCCTCTGAGCCAACCCAAACGCGTGATTTGGACGCGCACCTAAACAAGCCTGGTATTCTACAACGCCACGCCAAGTCTGCTTGTTTGTACACGGCAATGTTTGTTCTCCTCAGCCGAACGGGACGGCGGATAGACACAGAGAGGGCTTATCTTTAATCACTAATCTTCAGCGTTTTCTGACTGAGATACTGCATGACCATCATGTGATTATTTAATAGAGAGGAGGGCTGTAGACTCCAGTCAGACCAGAGGCTCCTGCAATGGGATTGGAGATAAAAAAAAAAAAAAGAAGAAAACTGGGAGAGAAATGCAGCAAACTCTTGGAAAGGCACATTATCTTTAAAATAATCTCCAAAATCAAGCTGAAAAACAAAAGGAACCACGGCCCCTTTTAGGTTTCTGGTTAAGCTTAAAGTAAATCATTTGCAGTGATAAGATTTTGCAAAAAAAATCCCCAAATAATTTGGCGCTCTCGGCACAATCGTGACTCAGACGCAGCCAAAAGTCATGTGACAAAAAAAAAAAATCAAACTGCAGTCTGTGTTTACAGAAAGCCGACGGGAGACGAGGAACAAACCGGAAACGTTCCAGAACTGGTAGCAGCATGTTGTTCTGATTACAGTTTTTTTTTTTTTTAATTTTCAACATTCATTTGTTCTTTTTTTTTTTTCAAGGATTTCTGTCTTTATAACTGTTTCCTAGAAAACATTTCTCTACTTCTAGTCAGACTGTTTCCATCGAAGACTTTATATCGCAGCAAAAAAAAAAAAAACAATCCCGGAAACATCTTGAGGTATGGGGGGTTCAAACGGTAATCCTGGATCGTGATGTGAGACTTTTTTTGTGAGACTAATCCAAAAATGCAGAACACACTGGCCAGCTACTTCTAAAACATCTACCTTAAACCTATTTATTTTTTGCTAAATCTGTTTTCCCTGTTGCCTAATTCTCCCTCAACAAACCTCATCCGGCTCGTTCATGACTGAAGCCTTTTTATTGTTTTTCAAGATTTGCAGAACATGAGTGCATCGCAGATGAATGACGCAATCTAACGGCGTCTCCCAGCGTGCACCTGTTTTTTCTCCGGCAGACGTTCGTTACATAACGACGAGACTTTATTGAACTCATCTCACACGGCTGATATCAGCGACTCTATTGGCAAAGTCGAGCTGCAGCATTAACAACTGAAGACACGAGGGAGGCTGAATTTCCTGCAGACTCGCTCGAGACGTCAAAAAGCCAAATGCCAGAATAACAGGAATGAAGCAGAAAGCTGCAGGCAGATCAGTTATCAGTAATGGAAGAACGTGCAGGCATAAAGAGGCCTTATGAGGGCTGACAATCAGCTTCTTTATCCTGCGTTACATATATCACACATTGAGTTCAGTGTAAGTGAATGATGACCTAAGAGGCTCCCAACCTCTGGCTGAACTTCACAGCTTGTGTTACAGTTTAAGCCAATAAGCCAAAAAGCCACTCGTTCGGCTGCGCGCTCGGCCAGTTGGTCACACGTCAAGCCCAACAGTCATCCAGTTAGCTAGTTAGCGAGCCAGTCCAACCAGCCAGCCACATATTTAGTCAGCCAGTGAGCCAGCGAGCAGAGCCGGTGATGTAAACCAGGCCACGGCTGGCTGGCGGCACCAGCTCAAATCTTGGTAGTGATCTGGCCCCGGCCCGGCTCCTCTCATGTGGATCATCAAAGCTGTTTTTCCAGGAAACAAAGCCAATCATCATTCAAGCTCGCTGGAGCCGGGCTCTAAAAGAATGCCAGAACGCTGCTGTTGGTATGGGTCATTTGCAGATTTGATAAATCAATCCTATCAGAACCGCGGCCCGCAAAATACCAGCTCAACATAAACATAAAAGACGGAGCGGCACGCAGTCGTTTCTATGCACCTTGAGATTTTCATTACAAAAGCAATCCTTTCCATCATAAAAGGAAGTGATTTCCTTTTGTCTGGCGTATACGGCAGCCTGGCTTGTCTTCTCTTTTTCTTTCTGCTGTGTCTCTTTGTACTTGAGCAGAAGATGAAGGACTCACCTTCCCGCCGTGACTGGCTGAAGGGCAATATTACAGGAAGCGGCGGCAGAGCTGCCCGATATTGAAACTGTGAGGATTAATATTCCTCAAAAGCCTGGCCATTGTTTTTGATAAATCAATTTGGGAAGCCTTCCGAGAGCGGATTAGAGACGCGCCCTGGCCCACTTTTCTCCCCCCCCCCGCCCCTCCACCGCAGGTACTGGACCAGAGTTTTAATCAAGCGTGCCTCAAAGACGGGCACAGCAACCTTCAGCAACAGCCCTCCTCTGCCCACCCGCCCGAGCCGGCGCCATCAACGCCACCTGAACCATCCTTCCTCCTCTCCCCGGTTGTCTCTCCCTCCATCTGTCTCGTCTGTTTTCCCATCTATCCTTCGTCTCCTTCCTCTTCAGCCGCCATCCTCGCCTGCATACCGACGTTAAGCGAGAGAGGCCGCGGCATCGCTGCCTCTCGATGTTCAGGCTCCACCGAAGGGCGTCGCGTGGAATGCGGTTAACGCTCCTGACACATCACACAACCGATTTTTCTATGTTCCTGTTCTGTTGCATTACAGATCAGAGCCATGAGGAATGTGGAAATTTACTCAGGAATTGTGTTGAAGTTGGTAAAAATACAATAAAGTGAAAAAGAGGAATTTGCAGCTGAGCGAGCACAGAAGAGGTCAGGAAACTGGGAGGGAGGAGACTGCTAGCTCTTCCTCGACACTTTCATTTTTTTTGACGGCTGAGTTTCTTTTTTCTACCCTGTCAGCCTTTTTTTCTTTTCTCTTTTTTTAATCCCTCCTTTTTTGTTGCTTGTTTTCTGATGCCTGTTGTGTTTGCCGCCTACGAAACAGATGTCATCCCGCACAGCTGGAGCGACGGAGAGCCGACGAGCGGAGAAGAGAGAACCTCATGCTGTTCTGCAGCCCGCCCCCTCTCTTCCGTCCCCCACCAACACAAAGTAAACCCTCCCATCACACGGCGATCTACCCATAATGCAGTGCATTATGGCCCACCTGATATGTGGAAACGGGGGAAGCAGCGATGAAGGGCGTGATGGAGGTCTGTGCGATCATGCGGTTGGTGGCGATGCTATAAGGCGAGGAGTAGAACCTGAGGAGGGAGAGAGAAGAAGGGGGAAGGGAGGAGAGACAAAGGTGGAAAAGTCAAAATCAGGTGAGTGAAGACCAGAGAGTAGAGAGGACACAGCTTCTGCAACGTACAGCCTGGTCCTGAAGTCTGAGGACGCTCATGAGGACACGTCTGTTGTGGATTTAACAGAGAATTTCTTAACAAATCCAGAAAAAAGCACATCAATTTCAGAATATTTGAATATCTGTTTTGCTTTATGAACACATGGACTCCACACGTTTCTGCCAAACCCTCGTTCTTTCAGCACAGCGACCCAAATGTGAAGAAAGTTTCCCAGCATGCAGGCGCCTCAGTAAATCCTGAGCAGGGTTGAAGTGGGGTGACGGCGGGGTAGAGTGCATGACATTCAGCACCGCTTGGTCCTCCAGCAGAGCTTTGAGGTGTGTTCGGGCTCATTATTCTGAATCCTTCTCCACAAAGATGCAAAGCAGAGGGTGGAAAATGTCCCTGAAGGATGAAGTGCTACTTCTCCTCGGTCAGTCGATTCGGTGCAGGTGTCCGACTATAGAGTTGCAAAACCCCCCTGAAGACTCTGGCTGTGGGATGGATCGTCTGCGGTGTCGTTCCCTCACATTCGCCCTTCTTTTGCTGCCAAATCTCAGAACTGGATCCATCAGTAAACAGGACCTTTCCCCCGCTCCATCCACAGCACGACGCTGCTGCGTCTGAGCCGACTGCAGACGTTCGGCCTTGTTTCCTCGTCTTGAGGAGTGCTTCAGTGACAGCTACTCGTCCTCTGAGATTACCGCCTGACAGCCTTTACTTCACTGTAATTTTGCCGGCTGGAGTTTTGTATTCTTTATTTAGCAAATTCAGTACCGGCGGTGAAGTCGCTGTTCGGTGAACAAAGCCTGACGTATTGATCGTATGATGGCGTGGACACTTTTGGGCTTTTTTTTTTTTATCGTGTTATGGAGGCGACTTATCCAGTTCACACAAAGTGTTTCAGAACAACACGATCTGACGCTGAGAAATCCTCGCTGGGATTAGAATAACTATCTGACTCCTGACACTTTCACTTAGCTCTGATGCCGAACTATCACCAGCACAGCCGTGTTCATAACAGATGAACATTTAGTTAAAGACTGCAATGAAAATCCACCGAGTATCATCCACTCCAATGGAAGAGATGCAACTCAAGATTAAAGCTGCAAGCGGCGATGGATGGGTCCTCGCTGTACGATTGTCGGCCTTCGTGCTCATCAGGGTTTGGCAGGAACGAGCTCCGGGCGGGACTCGGAGCCTGTGTGTCGAGTTTCGGGCATATTGGAGCACATGCGGGCGAGTTATAGGCCACTTCCTGTTTAATGTCGGGCCGCGCTGGCAATGCGCTTCTGGCTGCAACTCGGACCATGTGTGTGAAGTTCCAGGCTGATCAAAGCACATACAGGCCAGTTACCGTTTTATGGCAACGTCCTTTTTCAAGATGGCGGACTTCCTGTTGGGTTTAGGGCTTGGCGCTGGTTGACTTTTTTGTGCGTCCCGACCTGCTGCACATGCACAGCGATGTTTGTAGCTGTAGGTGAAACGACGTCAGAAGGGACTCAAAAAAAACCAAATGAGCAAAATGGCCTTTCATCGAAATTGCACGGGCCACCATTTCCACGGCGTCAGACTTTTGCGGAGCGTTTTAATCACCTTTAATCACCACCTCCTGTAGTTGGTGCTGGCCAAATTTCAGGCGTGTACGACGTACCCCCCAGGAGGGCATAGACTTTGAAAATGGCCACAAATTTGTGAAAATGAGCGAAAATCGGCCGTAATGCTCACAATATTTTCAACATGGCGGATTTCCTGTTGGGTTTACAGAAACATGCTAATGGACTTTTTTGTGCAGCATGAGTTGTTACATATGTGTGGCGAATTTCGTAGTTGTAGGTGAAACGTAGCCCTGATGGGACTCTGTTGAAATACTGTAGAGGGTGCCGTTGAGCCGTGTTGCACTTTAGAGCTTGGCGCTGGTCGACTTTTTGAAAATTGCGTAGCTCTAGGTCAAGCGTGCTTCTGATGGGACTCCGTTGAAATTTTCAAGGTGGCGCTGTGGAGCCAATTTGGCAGTGACATTTCCACCTCCTTTAAAATATCGAAATTTTCGCAAGTTTTGGCATGTGTGGCGATTTTGGTGAGTGTTGGGGCATGTTTAGGCCCTTAAAATCGTGTTTCTTTCGGCCGTAGAATAATAATAATAAACCAAAGGGTTACAACAGGGTCCTTGCACTGGTGTGCTCGGACCGGAACAATCCGACCATGGACCCAACGTCAAAAATGTTCTGAGATTTGGTTGGTTTTTTGTGTTTTTAAAGGTTTCCAAATCATCAAACTTTTGGATTTTTTTTCAGGTTTACATGAAAATATCACACATTTTCAAGGTGGTTTCAGATTTTCGGACACACACAAAAACATCCTTGTAGGAAATAACACCCACACACACACACACACACACACACACACACTAAACACTGTGGATTTATCTGGTATCTTGTTCCTAAAAAAAAAGCCACCTCATATTGTATTTCAAACGACACATAAAAGTTTCATGAAGCGTCGTCGATTGAAAGGCGTCACATTGAGCTTAGTCATCACATAAAGCAGGAGGCTGTCTCTCTCTCTCTGTCTCCCTCTATATATATATTTTTTTTTTACACATGGATTTCAGTATTTGGGCGACGCTGTGCTGTGCTGGCTGCTGACTTAAGGAACACGCTTGTAGGCTGAGCTCGGAGGAAACTCAATGCATCTCAAGAAGCTGCGGTTCGTCTTAAGCTGTGCAGAAGGGAGGTGGTCGGCCGCGCTGCTTTATCTCATTGTTGGAGGTTTACACTGAAATCCGCTGCGGGGTTAAGTGGAACGTCCGACAGTCGCCGGCGCCGGCGCTGATGGAGGTTTTCAGACAAGTTACGCAACCAGACCTGATGTACAGCATCAGTGTTGGTTCTTGCATCCTTAATGTTCTGTTTGTTTCCATGTGAGCGGCTTGTTTGCATCATTTTGCATTGAAGTTTGTTCACAACAGAGTCAAACTGAGTGAATTAATCAGTATGTAGGATAACGTGCTTTAGATTACTTTGTATGTCTGTGGTTTCTGGTGTACAATATTGACCCTCTGAACTCTAAGCCTGTATTTTTTGCTTCTGTGTTGTCATTTAAGTCCTGCACCTCCATGGAAAACAGCACAACCACGACTAGAACTAGTGAGAACTCAAAAGTGTCTCATGCAGCTCGACAAATGCCATTAATAACAAAAAAGACCAAAAAAAATGATGTTACATTTCTTAAATTATTTGTGTCGTAAAAATTGGGGGGAAAAGACATTTTTGCCAACATACGTTACCAAAAAAAAGAATATTACTAGTGATGCATGATATTGAAATTTCTGGCCGACACCGATATTAAGATTCCTGATATCGCCAATAACCAATATCACCGATGTCGATATTCAATTTTTGTTCACACTGAAAAATGAGAATAAGGAAGCACTGTGAGAAAACTATTCAGAAGAAGCCAAATGAGACCACATAGTCCTCCTATTACAAAAGTAAAATATATTTTAACACATTTAACGTTCAGTCCAGGACCATTTAAGTGAAAACATATGTGAAATAGCAGCGATATCAAACGTAGAGACGAAGGTGCTGATGTTAGACAATTTGTTCATCGGACCGATACCGATATATGGGAAAAAAACACTGATATCGGCCGATACGGATGTGGATATATCGTGCATCCTACATATTATAGATGCTTTACTACTTACATTTCTAATTCACCTTTACAGCTGCCTCCTGTCTGCTCTGTGTGAACTCAGGCTGCTGAAAAGTCACTGAATTTCTGACTTTTTGACCGAGGCTGCGTAACTAATGGCTCTTTAGTTGCACCGATGATCACCAAATGTTTGTTTTTTCACAGGATCTGTTTAGAGCGAACGGTTTATTTTTGGCTAATTTTAAAAAGAGAACACAGAATAAAGGGATTTTGATGAAATATCACAATTTTAAGCTTAAATTCATTATGTTTCCTGATATCTGCAAGTCACACATGGTGCATTTAACCCTCCTGTTAGCTATAAGTCGACACCATTCAGTGTTTAGCATCTCTAAATAAGTCACTGACATCATTTCTAAAGGGCTGTTTACACATAAACTTGGCTAACAGTTTTAATTATGATATTTTCTGGAGGTTTAAAGTACTGGAATCCAAGAATAAAAGATGTAAATCTGAAGGTAACAGGAGGGTTAAGGAACGCCGGAAAGTCTACGATTTTTTTAAGTTTCAAGGCTCTGGGAGACGATAAGCTCACCTACGTGCTTGTGGATTTTGGAGTTCAGAGGATCAATACATTTATTCATGTACAGTCTATAACTTACAAAACATGACATATATTTATGTGTGGTGTAATAACAACATTTTGGCACCTTTATAAAATGTGTATGCTCAGCTCATGGCTAGTTTTCTACACATAGAGTTGTTCACATGGCTGGATTTGTTGTTGTCTTGATGATGTTTTCTGGAATGCTCTGACTTTAATTGATTATGCAGCTATAAACAACAATAATTTTTACACGTTGAAAAAATGAGGAGCTACATCCAAAAGGTCAGCGACACACGAGGCTCGGATGCTGGAACATCACACGTTCTGAAAACGTTCCTCTTTGGTGATCTCCTACGGAAATATAAATGTATTCGAATATTAATGCAAATGAGAAGATGTAAATTCAGTCCCACAATAGCTTATATATGCATTAGATGAGGGTAATTTGCATCATAATTATGTTTAAAATTCACTAATCCAATTTGCACTTGAATCCTGATGCACCTGTAAGCACAGTGTGAAGAACATGAAGTGGCGTTTGTGTTTCAACCTTCCAGCTTCAACCGCTTCATTATTATTATTATCCTCTAGTTTGCAGGTTTGTTGCTTAACACGACTACCTTTTGGGATTCTAATTTGGCAGCAAAGCTTTTATACGGTGTAAAACGACTGATGCCGTTCATCCAGTTGTTTTTTTTTTTTCCTGGTTGGGACTGACTCAGAGTCACGGGGGGATGAGTGGTTTAGGAAGCGGGAATGAGGAGCTTCCTGTGAGCGGCTGAGGCCAGAGGGAGGTAGAGGGGAGCCTCGGCACTCAGCTTCCTGTCTCGGGACTGTGGGGAAAAATAAAACACGTTGCCGGGTCATTTGTTTCCACAGCACCATTAAGTCATGGCATAAAGACACACACACACACACACACACACACACACACACACACACACACACACACACACACACACACACACACACACACGAGGACCCAAACACACCCACTCAGCGCCTCTTTGCCATTTCTCACCCGACCCCACCGATGAAAACCGATATTTGGAGTCCATATAGATTTCCTTAATCAAACAGTAACAAAGTGCAGACACTACATTAATCTTTATGTATGACAGTGATATTGACTGCGGCCCTACGAGCCAAGAGGTGAGTGTATTAGATGGTGCCAAGGATGGATTGACTATCAGGCTCTTACCCATTCTGCATTGCAGCAGGATCGTATGTTAACGCCATGCCAGTCTGGAAGAGAAGAGCAGAGACAGATCCAGGATCAGGCAAATTAAGACTTCCATTAGAATGAAATCAATCAAACAACATTAATAAACTGAAGTGAAAAGAAATGACAGGAAACTTCTGGAATATTTTCTTCTTTAGTTGATTTGAGGACAATTAAAAGAATGAAATGCAAACGTAGAAAACGTGCTTTTATGATTTTTTATTGCAGCAAATTACATAAGAGAATTGTACGTCTTCATGTGGTGACCTTCAGAGGTGCTGGTTTCCAGATTTTATCTTCAAACAGTCTTTCTGCTGAATGAACCACCTGCTGGCTTCAGATTTAGATTTGCTGCAGAAGTTACTCGTAGTACTTGTAGAGACCAAGTGACTCGATGATCCGACACTAAATGTAAAACCTTCTTTTATGTCGGATAGCAAGGCTGTCGGATTGTCAAGACGGAGGTCCAGATACAAGGAGGGCTTGATGCTGGAAGGTTCATTAGTTGTTAATTATTGTTCATAGTTGTTACAATAACTAGTGTATTGTTACTGACCGGTGCGCTTGTGCACGTTCCGGACACTTCCACCCCGTGGGAGCGCTCTGATGCGGTGGAAGTGTCCAGAACACACAGGCAGTACTTGGCTGCTGATGTTAGTTTAGTTAGCGCTCACACTTCTGTGTCCACCATCGGTGGCGGCGGGGGAGTGGCAGATACGCTCCACCGTTACCATCCATGTTTACTTCCATAAACACTGAGCACGCTCGCTGCGTGCACATATGAAGTTCACACAGCAGATCACATCCAAGTCGCATTTAACTGGAAACGTGAAGGAGCTCACAAAGAAATCCTCATTGAGCATCAAGTCCTGCAGTGTGAACGTAGCCAATCTGTAGGATTGTTCAGTCAGATAATACGCCGTTATCCTGATTGGTGACATTAAATGTCATGTCGGAGTCAGAATCCAAGGCTGTCGCTATGTTAAGGCTGTTTTTATGGGTTCTGTTGGTTTTTCCTAAAAACCTGTCGGATAGCAGGTTTAGGATTGTTAAGGGTCGGATTATCGAGTCACGACTGTATTTCATTTCAGTCTTAAGTTGCGTATTTCAGCTAAAGATGCACCTAGAAGCTCGTGGACGGCGACCAACAGCACCTAGCTGAGGTGAAAATGGCCAAAGGACATTTAAACAAACATTAGCATCGCTGTATGTATATTTCTGACCCAATAGATTTAGTCATATCTCCATATCTATGACAGAATCAAAGTGCAGGATTTGTTTTTTGACTCATGGTGGAAGCTCAAGGCTGCCCTGATATACACGGTTAACTTCTGTTCTCCTTTAATTCCTGGCAGGAAAGTAAATAAGTTCCCAGAATAATAATAATAAGTGATGAATATGTGCATACAGGACCGTTTGCCACCTGTGCTAACTTTATTACCAGTTTCTTTGCTGGTCCGTGTCAGAACCGAGCCGTCGCTGTGTTCCTGCACCGATGTCACCCAGATAATCTGCTGTACTTTTATTGTACTTGGGGGCAGAATAATGCGATTTAGATCCTGATCCGTTTTTTTTTTTTTTTTTGTTACAAATAAATCAAATCAAATCTAAATCAACTCATTTCAAATTGGAAAAACTGACAAGTGACAAAGCCGATGTGGGAGAGGGGCCGAGTCGATAGGACGGAGCGAGTTAGTATCGAAGACTTTTTCTATATTTCTGTCACGTAGCGTCATGTTTTTATGAATGAGAGGAAATGAAGAAATGCCCTTTGGAGGGAGAAAAGGAGTGAGCAGAGGAAAACCTGAGTTCCTTGTCTGGTGGTGGTGATGGTGTGTGTGTGTGTGTGTGTGTGTGTGTGTGTGTGTGAGGCCCTCTCTGAGTCCAGGAGAGAAACCTGTGCGCCGCCGCAATCCTTCATCTGCATTCCTGAAGGTTCCCTCCCGGAGGAGAGCTAATCCGATTTCTTTTAACGGGAGGCTGCTGAGGATGGCAGATTTCATCAGCATACACACACACATGCACACACTACACACCCACACACACACAGACACACACACACACACTCTTTTCTTGCCCTTCCTTTGCTTACCCTCCCTCCTCCTCCTTCTTCAAAATCTTGTGTTCTCCTCTCTCTCCCTTTACCTTTCCTCCCCTCATCCCTCACTCTCCTCATCTCTTAATCTACCCCCCCTCCCCTCCCCTCCCACCCCTCTGTACCTCCTTTGCCCTTGCTCCTCCAGAGGGCTACCTGCACTGAGCTATACAGTTCAGGGAATAGTGGCTCAGAGGAGCAGGGGGATCAGCGAGCCCGGACCGAACCCTTGAGACTGAGCAAAAACAGAGAATCTCCACCAAACCAATAAGCTCCTGGATGCATGTGTGGATGTAGGTGTGTGCGGTAACGCTGTGAAGGCCCGAAGAGCATTTTGTGGTGTTAAATTACTTCCTGCTTTGTGTATTTTCCCCCACTTGTTGTTTCTCCTCCCCTTTGGTGACTCCATAAGGTCTCCTCCCGTGTATGCATTTATGGGCTTTCTTTACACAAAAACGTGAGATCAAGTGAGCGTCGGCGCCTGCCCGTCAGCGTGCTTGTGTGTTCACAGGCATGCTAATGGCGGTGGCAGACGTGGCCAGCTGTCTGGCGAGGCTGATAACTCCCCTAAGTGCTGCCCTCGCTTCCATGTGCTGATGAATTCCACAGCAGAGGAGCTCCTGACCGAGGACCCCGCATCCACCGCCGCTGACTGATTACTGATGCGGGAGGCTTTTGGCTCCGTCAGGAAAAGACACAGGCGGACTGTGGAGGCGTCTGATCCGAGACCGGTACTGTACAGAGGCTGATGGAAGCCGCCACAAACGGACCTGAGCTGTTTATATTTATTTGGCATGCAATGCAAAAACTAGAAGGATTGAACAGAAGATTTCTTTACCATTTTACATCCATCCATCATCTCTACACCTTCATCCTCACTAGGGTCATGGGGGGCTGGAGACTATCCCAGCTGACTCAGGGTGAAGGCAGGTTCACCTGGACAGGTAACCAGTCTATCACAGGGCTACACTTAGAGACAGACAACCAAGCACACTCACATTCACACCTACGGACAATTTAGAATCACCAATTAACCTCAGCATGTTTGTGGACTGTGTGGGAGGAAGCCGGAGAACCCGGAGAGAACCCACGCTGCACGGGGAGAACATGGAGACTCCACACAGAAAGATCCCGGGTGTCCTCACTGGGACGCCAACTGGCGACCTTCTAGCTGTGAGGCGACGGTGCTAACCACTGCACCATTTTGCAGCCGTTTTCCGTATCCACAAAGTGTAAATGTATGCAGAGTGTGGTGACAGCTCCATCCAAACGTATGTCTTTACGCTCAATCATTAACTCGAGTTTAGGAAGTTGTGAAGAATTACTTTGCATTAATGACTTCTGTCCCTCTAATGGTGCAAATGTAAATGCAGAAATAAATAATATGTGCAAAAGTGTAAATGTGCATAATCGTGTTTAAAGCGGTTCATGAGGAGGGCGAAGGACGGCCTGAGTGTGAGGACGCCTGCTGTTCATGAGCTGTGTCACACAAACACACACACACTGACCCGCTCCTTGTGTTTCTGCCTTCAGAATTGCTCTCCACACACACACACACACACACACACACACACACACACACACACACACACACACACACGGACATCTGTCAGGCTTTCACACAGAGTGGAAAGCCGGATGTTTTTTTCATCTACACTCATTCCCCTAGAGTAGGTGCTTGAGAAGTGTGACTTTGAAAGTTTTTGTGTGTGTGTGTGTGTGTGTGTGTGTGTAGGAGTGTGTGTGTGTGTTGGTGAAAGAGAGAGACAGAAAAAGAGGAGAAAGAGAAAAGAAACCCACGGCGCTCGCTGCTCGAATGTGTGGAGGGAGAGAGGAAAGAAAAAAAAAACAAGAAGTGCAGTGACTAATATGTTTGTCAGCATGAGACAGCCAGAGACGGCACTTTCTAGACTCACACTTTGGGTAGTTTACAAGAAAATCTGTCTTATATTTCTCAATCCTCCAGCAGCAGCAGCAGCAGCCACCCTGCAGCACGCAACCCCTTGTAACTCCTGACTGATCATGCAATGTGTTCTCCTCTCTCCTCTCTCAGCCTCTCTCGGTGAGTCACTCGCTCTTTCTCTCTCCATATGTTGCTCTGAGATCTGGGAAGACTTCAAACGCAGGAGAGGAAGAGACGGAGGGAGACAAAGTGGAAGAGACTGTGAGGAGAAGGAGAGAGAGAGAGAGAGAGAGAGAGAGAGAGAGCACTTAGAGACAAGAGAGAGGGGAGAAGAGTGAAGGGAAGCAAAAGATAGCAGCAGCAGAGTGAGATGAGGGAGTAATGGATGGTGTGGGCCGCCCTTCACAGCGAGGTGAGGAATGGCCTCGGCTCTGATAAACACACTAACATACGATGCCTATCTCCCATCTCCACCGCCCTCGCTTGATCAATGCCCGCACACATACACGCACACACACACACACACATACGGGCCTTTGTATCGACTCTATAGGTGTAAATTCATGCCGATCAGGATTGGAGGTGATCGGACTTGCACCGCAGCCCGATGTGTGCCAGGTGTGAATGCAATCTGTACAGCTGGAGACAGGAAAGAAAAAAAAGGTCACCGGACTCTGAGGCCACAGATTTGATCACATCGAGTCACACCTGGACAATAAAGCTGCTCATTGATACCAGATGTGGATGCAAAAGCTTCAGATGTCAACATCCGGACAAAGACTCAGTGAAGGAGTTTTTTAACCGTCCTGACGATGTTCCCCGAGCACTAAATCTCACCTTAAACCACCTCATGCTGCAGATCTTTATTTCCTCCTCAGCTGGTTTTAACTCGGATACGATGGACACATGTACGGCTGCTCAGAGACGACACGAGGACATTTATCCTCAGCCTCTTTCTTTCTCTGTTATCTGTATGTTTGATGCATTTTATTTATGTTTTCCTGCAGCGGGTGTAAATCAGCAGAGCTTCGTTTCTCTGTCCAGGATTTAAATGACATTGTTGAGATAAATAATTTAAAATCTGATGCACAATTTGAAAACAATACAAGCTTATGTAGCAGGAAAATTCAGAAGTAAAAATAACCGAATTAGTAAAAAAACAAAAGAACAAAAAAAATGGTCTAAATCTCAGACTGGGTCCCTAATTAATAGCTAATTAATCAGTAAATAACAGCACAACGGAGCAGTTTCAGGTCTCTCTTTTCTCCATGAAGCGAGCTCACCAAAAAGCAGGTTTATTACAGTGACTGTGACTTACTGTCAGGCTGCTTCGGTTTTATAAAGCAAGCTCCACATTATTACAGCTCAGTTAATAACTTATGCTGGAAACTAACTGAGGACAACTGTCAGGCTAAACCAAAGGTTCTCAAATTGGGGGTTGGGATCCCCATAGGGGTCCCAAGATAATTTCAGGGGGTCGCCAGATCATGAGAAAAAAAAAAATCTAATAAATGTGTATCAGGGCTGTCAAAACATAAACCGTATAGTTCTTCCCATTCCTTTTTTGGACTTGTTAATATTATGATTTGATTATGCAACAATATTATTACTCTTTTTTTGCTCTTTTTAAAATGATTTTCTTCTGTTTTATATATGTTTTTTCCTTTTCATTTGTTCAAAATAAATTCAATTCATTCATTCATTCATTTAAAAGAAAGCTAACGTGTGAATGTAAAGAGGTTTATCTGAGGAATTAGCACATTAATTATTAACACATTAATGTACGAACAGCAAAGTGATTGAGAGAGTAAAAATTCAAATTGGGGAACACAAACTTATGTTGTCTTGGGGGTCGTGGCTCAAAAAGTTGGAGAACCTCTGGACTAAACCTGAGGTGTTGCTTTACAATGACCTGATTTTACCGCCGACTCTCTGCCGTGCTGCCGTATTGTCTCCCTTTATTGGTGAGCATCATTTAAAAAATTTAGGTTTACAGAAAATATACTTAAATAAGTAATGATGTATACAAATTACACAGTAATTCTGAGTCTGAGGCTGAATCTTTCCTTTCCAGTGCATCTCCACTGATCCTTGCTCATTCTGGTGCAAACATGTGGAAGCTGCACGTCGACAAACTCTGTGTCTTTGAAATAAAGTAAAAAAAAATTTAAAAACGGTGCGTCCAAGAACACTTAAAGCGGAGTAAATTATGTTTGATCGGTCAGACTACGCTTGTAGATTAGTCACAGAAAACAAGAACCAAATAAAAAGAAGTTGTAGCGTGTTTAAGGTGATTTGCTTTACTTCACATTGCACTTCCTGAAACGACAGATTGTGCAGCTTCTTTGCACCAATTTGTGTTGTGCAAATTAGGTTTTAATCACATCCTGTCTGAACACACAATAAGTGTCTGTTGCATGTAAAATATCTGCAAACTGTCCACCGCTGCAGCGAGATCTTTACGGGGAATTTTCCTGCAAGAGCACCTTTAAAGAAAAGAGTTTACAGTATGATTTAACGGCACTGCAGCTCGGTATTAGATAAAGATATTTTACAGGATGAAGCTGCATGTAAGGCACAGAGTATAACAAGTGGGGATCAAAAAACTAAAGGGGTGTTTCCTCTATTTTGACTCCTTGGCTCTCACTCATACATTCAGTCATCTCGCTTCACCTTAAGTCAACTGAGCCGACCCGGCCGACGTGCAGGCCCGCAGCAGCGACGTGATTTAGGTTAAACACGCCTCGCTGGCTTATGTGTGTGTGTCAGGGCTGCTGAACATGTGATGGACACACAGAGTTAATGCAGCCCTCCACCTTCCTCCCTCTCAACACACACACTCAGAGAGACGGTGTGTTTCCTGAAGGACAAACATTTCTCCTGGTTTCCACCACGTTGCCGTTTCAGCACAACTGTCAGCCTCGGCGTTGCTCTTCTATACGGTCTGGTCCGAAGCTCTCCTCTACGTGTCCTTCCCAGTATAGCCGCCTGGTAGCCTATGAAGAGGCTGTAACCTTGTCCCCCCCCCCAGCGTTACCGCGCTGTATCCAATTTCAGGTTTCCCGGCATGGTGATGTATGGCGGAAATATACGTGTTCAGCGAGGCATTTGGCTTGAGATGCAATTTACACGACAGCTCATATACATCCAGGGGCTGTTTGATCGATATCTGGGGTATTTTTCTTTTCTTTTTTAGCAGCTCTATACCTTAGAGTAAATACAAACGACAGGCAGTAATGGTTCACATCACGCCAGATGTTGTAGCCAGCGTCTCTCGGGGCCTCGCGAGCAGGGTGGGGTCTGTTCTTAGAAATAAAATGACCTCAGACGCCTTGTTCACGACGTCACCGCGCTGGAATGGAAAGAGTTGAACCGAGTCAACATTTGGTCGAACGTCGTCTCCTGGTTCTCGGCAAATATTTGCTGTATTCAGTCAGTGGACTTTTTATCGTTATTCTGCAAAAGACAAATTACAATCACACGACTGAAGTTGGATAATACGAACTCCAGACAGGTGGCGCTGCAGCTCATGTTATGTTCATGTATTTCTGTCTATCAGCTGCTCTTCTTGTGATTTATTATTCTTTATTACTGATCTGCTTTATACACATGGAGGTTAGATGACGGTTTATTATAAGCAGCATAAAAATAAATATGTGAAGTTTAGTTGTTGATCTGGGCACCAAATTGTACTTTTACACACCTGTTGGGTTGTTTTTTTTCCTTCCAGTGAGTTCAAACACATCTTGGATTTTGCTTCATGCTCGTGGAGTTGTTTTTTACACGATGCAAACTTTATCATCTACTGCACATGAACAAGTTTTTATTGCTGTCATTGCTCCTTTAATGCCGCGTAAAGACTTTAAGGAGTAAACAGCATCAGACAGCAGATTATATTTTATATTCTCTCAAGGAAATTTGCGGTACACTTTTGAAACAATGCAACAAAAAGAGAAAATGGGAATTATTTCTGTGAACTGCTCTGGAGCTCTGGCCTGCATGTTGTGGTCTGGAGGTGTGAGTCGAGGCTACATACGGTTGTTTTATAATAATCAGAGCAGAAGAAGCCAGAATCGTAACACGTTGTTTGCCAACTGCTAAAAGCCTCGAAGACGCAGAAGCAACAAACAAAACTTTGGCCATCCTGGAGCGAGGTCTTCGGGAAGCTTTTTTTATTTAGCAGATTGTAGTTTCACGCTGTCCAGAGATGAAGACAGCAAAAGAAACAGAAACAGGGAATGTTTTCTATCTGAAAAAAGGTGCTTCTACCGACCATGATGTGCATAAACCACTTATGGAAAAAACCAAAAGAAGTGAATAAAAAAACCTGAACTGGGAAAGTTTTAGGTTGAGAGTTTTCATTAACGTTTTTCTAATTTTATACTGAAAAATGTGAATAGATATAGAGAAGAAGTCCTAGGAAATAATAATAATTAAGTAATAAAATAAAATAAGTATAAACACAAGATGATAAAAATATGTTTGGGTGTAAACTATGGAGCCGTGGCTTCATGGCTCGCCAGATGCAGACTTTAAAAGTTCGGAAAAAAGTAAAAAGCAAACTAATAAAACCTTCATTTGCGTCTCCATTGTTTTCCTGTGCAAATGTGGTGCAGCTGCTTGAAATGAAAATATTAAAAAGATAGAAAAAGTAAAGAATCAAAAATACAGAAAACAGGTAAGAGCCGCTGTGATTGGCTGCTCACGGCGCCATCTTGGGAAAAAAAAAAGAGCTGATAATTTTTTAAAGACACAAATAAAATGATGAAAACTAATATTTGTGAGTTCTGAGTGTTACATCATGTATGTTGTGTTATTTTAATAATCTCCATACGGTCTCTGACATGTGTTCACTTAAGCAGCAAACCCAAAGAAGCTGGTTGTGAAGAAAATAAAAAAACACCTTTCTAGAGACCTGGTGTGAGTTCAGATTTACTCTCTGACACTGATTCGCGCTGCACTGAGTCAGCAGCCGATGGAAGATTCTGTCCAGTTACGGGTCAGCCAGTAAAGCGGACCTGCGTCCGTCTGCGGCACCGGGACATCTTACCTCGCCTTCTCTGTGCCACGGCCTCCCGTTCTGAGGGTACTTGCTCTGGCTTTGGCGTTTCTTTTGCCCTCCGTCGGCAAATTTGCACAGCAAAGGCTCCGTGGGAGCTGCAGACAGGGAGAGAAAGGACAGAACCATGTTAGGAGGACTGCATCGGGCCACCCTTCATGAAGACAGAAGCTCTTTTGAACCGTGTTCTCTTCCTCCACCACCACGTCTCCCTCCGCCCTCCTCCCTGCGTCCTCTCAGCCGTCCTACGGAGCTCCCAGACAGATTCCCAGACCGCCGATGTTGGCAAGCCCTCCCCGTCCCGGCCCGGGCTGGCAGCCCATGAAAGAGCATTGCAGGGTATTGTTGAAATAATAATCACAGTAATCGCTCTTGTAAATACCTCTGAGATGGTAATGCAGGAGCGCTCTGTCAGCCAAAGCTTATTTCTAGAAGGCGTTCCTGTTCCTGACGCGTAATCCCTTCGTGTTTTACTACTACAGCCATCTCCTCTTTTATTTGAAATTTTATGTCTTTTTCCACTCAGCAGCCGTCAGCGCCTCACCGGCTTGTGTTGCTCGAGCAACGGCTGATATCGGTATTAATTACGCTGCATTTGGTGCAAACGCTAGGGGCAGTCGAGGCATTTCTGACTAAAGTTGTGGAGGACCGACACATCAGCAGCAACATGAACTAGCCGTTATTAAACCAATTAAAAGATGAAAAAAAAGGCCCTCTGAGGTGCGACCTCACCCGAGCTATCTCCCTATCAACAGCCTTTTGTTTGCATAATTACCAATAAAAGGTCGACCAGAGTGTTGCGATGACCTGCGTTGGCGTAAAGATAACTTCTCAAAGGGCACGTTCTCACGCTCGAGCTGCAGGTGAGCACCGAGAGAGACAAAAGTGATCCAGGTGAAGGACTCTCGTGATGAGAGAGTGTAGAGAGAGAGAGAGAAAAAAGAAGTCTGAAGACAGACAAGGAAAGAAGAAAGTGAAAGGAGGAGGAAAAAAAAAAGCATGAGAAATGGGTGGCTGGAGATCTGGGGGTCTCTACAGTCCCCCTTTTCAGTCGGCGAGATCCAAATCTCTGAAGACGCAGACTGAGGAGATGAGGGAGCAGGAGGGAGACGGTCGTATAAACGAGTAAAACATGGGAGCAACAAAAAAAAAAAAAAAGAGGAGAGTGGAGGAGATAAGGGAAACGGCTGACCGAGGAGCGAACCTATCCGGGGATCAAACACTCGCTCCTGGGAGACTTGTACAGTTCAGCTACATCACGGCACCCAGGCTTGTCCAAACACCGAAGCGCCGCCGCCGCCCTGCACCTGGTGGCTCAGGAGGGACCTGACGGCTCTCCTGTCATCGCGTTCGCATTACGGGCCTGGCAGCTCGTGACTTGGCCGCTCCGTGACGACGCGGGCTGACGGCGGCGGGCGGCGCTGTCTGCAGGAGGCCGGACATTTCATCGATGACACCCAGCGAGAGGACTGCTGATGCTTTAATCTCCGCTCCCAGATGTTACGGCAACTTGATAATAAACGCAGCTTCACGAGACGGGAGGCAAAAGAGATGCTGTCAGGACTGACAGGACGGTGACAGCGATGAAGCAAGCAGAGTGAACTTGTGACGAGGGAGTTCTCCAGCTGATGACTCGGGCGCTAAGCGAGCTAACGAGGTGATTTCTTTATTCATTTAATTTTCTCCCATCGGTCGTGCGACTGCTGGCGGATGTTGGAGATAATTATATGTAAGCTACAGTCTGGGATGCAAATGAGAGAAAGGCCGCGGAGCAAACAAAGTTTATGTGGCTAAAGGGATGCTACGAGGCCAAACACATGCAAACAAGAAATGAATAAGAAAAAAACTAAATTTGAAAGTGTTTACGTGCCTTTAGGGTCGACTATGGGACCAAACTTTTTTTTTTTTTTCAGAGTCGGCCCAGGAGAAGAGAGAGAGAGAGAGACGCTACAGAAGAAAAACAACAAAAGCTCTTCCAAACCTCTCCTCTGGCACTGTGGGAGATAATTAGCTATTGGAGAAATTTGGAGAATCTGACACAGAGCACGCTGACGTTCCCCCGGTGACTACATCCCCAGTTCCCACAGCGAACTAGCCAATTTGTTTAAGACTCCAGCCCAAGATCAACAGCCTCGCAACCACCCCACCCACCCTGTGAACACACTCACCCCTCTGTAGCCCTCTCACACACACACACACACCTACACACACACACACACACACATACACACACACACACACTCCTGCTGCCCTGCTACAACCCTCCAAAGCACACCGAAATACCCACACACACACACAACACAAGCTCCTGCCAGCCTAAAAAACCCTCCTCAGACCTCTCACCGCACACCGTCATCGCTGGCGGAGCTCAGAATAAACCAGGCCACTGACTGTACATGCTAGCCTGCTGATGCGGCGTCTTTAGGTCACCGGCTCCGAGAACAAAACGCTGGCTCCGAAATCTGCGCTGTAGGGGGCCCGCTTAAAAAAAACAGCAGTTATGAACCAATTTGCTACCTTCTAATGATCCTAAATCATGGGAAAAAAAGACATGAAGTACTTTTGGTCAGAGGTCAACAACTGCCGCTAACAAGGTGCTCCATGGGAACTCCTAATTGTTTTTTTATGCGGGTTGCCGTAGGAACTGGTAAACACGCTAACAAGGGGCGACTGCGCACGTGCTTTGGAGTGTGCACGCCACGACAAAACACACACACACACACACAAAAGGAGGCAATTTAGCGAGACTCCTTGTGCCGCTAGCCTCGTCTGATCACCGCCTGGGTTCAATCACACTCCTCACTGTGGCTCTGAAGAGATAGTCACGGCGTTCTGCTCATCAATAGACACATTACCACACAGCAAAACGAACCAATAAGTGTATGCAGATGTACTTCTGTACCAGACAGTGCAATTACAATAGCAATTTAAATCGGAGCTTGTTGCGAGTTTCACTTATTAGCGTTGCGCGCGTACGTAATTATCGCTGTTACTATTATTTCTTATGGGCCGGCGTTCGGTCAGAATCAGCACAAGCGCAGCTCGTTTGGTGTCTGTAGACAAACGCAGCTGAAAAACATCTCGGTCCATGAATGCAAATGTGTCCCATCACGCATCGGCTCGTCGCCGTGCATTCGTTTGCTGCTCTGAATCGGACTGTACATCTGTTTGGACTGAATGGTGAAATCAATTCAGGAATGTCTCTCCCCCCCCGACCCGGAGTTCTGGAGGGGTTGGGTGAAAGGTTTTTTCTCAGCGAAACAGCCAGCTTTTCACCATCGAGACAGTTACAAAAGAGGCCTCTCACAAGGGTTTGGAGTCAAACTGGGCCGGCCTCGCTTCGCTCTCACAGCGTCCAAAGTGCTAAAGAGGGCAAACAGAGGGAACTGTTCAGCCACTCGTACCAAAACATGTCGGCCTGAAAAGCTCCGGTTAGAGGAAGCTTTCCACTTTTCAGTGACGACTTTGGTTCGAGGTTCCTTCCTTCGGGTTCTTTGCCTGTGAGCTAAGCATCCCAGAAAAAAAAAAAAAAAGGATCTTGTTGTTTTACTGTTCAGAGAGAACATGGAGGAAAGAGGACGGTATTTTATTGGAATTCTGCTATGCTCTGACGCTGCTCGAGGGGATCTCTAATTGGATCAACAACTGTCTGATTCCCTTCAGCCTGCTTGACCCGTCTGCCCGGAACCGAGGAGGCCGAGGCAATGAGAGGGAGAAGGAAAGACAGAAAGACAAGAACAGTGTTCAAGAAAACGATAGATAATAGAAAAACATCTGACAGACAGAAGGGACAACTGAGAGGGGTCACGGAACAGAACCACGTCGCCATTTTCATATCCAAACAGCTCAGCATGGCTGCCAACCAGGAAACCATGCAGCAGCAGCAGCTTTCCTACAGGGAGAGCTTTGACGGATCCCAGTCGATAGCTCTCACAACTGCCACGCCGGCCTCGCATCCTTCACCGTGGAAATGAAGACAGTCTGCCAGCCGTTTTGCTGACAGGGACGGCGGCGCACATGGCTCAATGACACGGCCCGATAAATGGAGCAGGGCGCTGCTGAGAGGGGGAGCGTGGCTCAGAGCGAGACAAAGAGATAGATGGAAAGACAGATACGGTGTCGTAGACGGACGAGGAGACGCGAGGAGACTGTGACAGACGGAGGCAGAGGGGAGAGGGAGTCGCTGAGCGCACCAGTGACAGACGTAGTCCAGTTTTCAGCCCGTCCGATCCATACCGGATCTATGTGAGCGGGGCGAGCGCGGGGAGAAGGATGTCAACAACGCCTTGATTCTCGCCCTGCGTCTGCTACACATGCTCTGCGGCTATTGATCAGCTTCTGCTCAGACGTTTTTTTCTCCCCACAGAGGGCCTGTGCAGCACGCCAGGCCTGAGATGATATTATGGATTACGGGAAGGGAAATGGAGGGAAGAGCCCTGGATGCGGGCGGTAGAAGCCTGATCGATGAGCTATTGCACACTTAACAAGAGTAATGTTATGTAGGGAGTCTCTGACATGCTAATCCATCTCTCACTCACTCTGTCCGTCTCCCTCGATTGCATTCCTCTCTGTTGTGGTTATCTTCTGTCTGCCTATCGCTCTCCTCATTCCTGTCTTGCCTTTTTTTATGCTATCTATCTATATGTGGCTGTCTGGGAAAATCCACGATCCAACAGAACGATGAGCAGCCTTCTGCCTAAACACAGATGAAATTACGTGTTGAATATAATTGTGTCTTCAAACTCCTGCCTCTGAATAAATCTGCTCTTAAATGCGAGAGCAGCAAGTGCAGCGCAGCGCCAAGCAGACGGCGGGTTTCCAGCTGCCGGCCAACTCCTGGGAGACGAGCTCTGAGGTACCATTTAAACGAGAACTTCATTTTAGCTTAATCAGCTAATTCCACTTGCCATTCCTGACACCGGGGTTGCCATGGCGAATAAACAAATAACTACAAACAACGGGGCAGACGGACGCGTGCGAGCGAGCGAGCGAGTGGAAGTTACGGCGTTTGCCAACCCTAATGAGCAGCTCGCAATCCTGCATCCATATATTAAAATAACATTTATGCGAGCAGACAGTCCTCGCCGCGTTCATTCCG